AGGGCGTCTGTCCTGGGCCGGACCGGTGCAGAGAGACCAGACCTGCCCGAAGGAGGGTTCTACCTCCCGGGCCCCGGGTCCATCCGGGCCAGCGATCGTCAGCCCAAGGCGTCCACCTGCCCCTGACCCGGCTACCGGGCCATTCCCAGGGCGGGGAGCCCGCCATCGGAGATTCAGCGATCCCCGGGGCCGACGTTTGGTGCTGGCCCGCCCGCCTGTCCACAGTTGCAGAAGCGCTTTCTGAACTGGCCCCGGAGCTACGGACCTTCGCTCGAAGGCCTCTGAGCCCGGCTGCTGCCCGGCCCTCATGCCCCGCAGGCTTCAGGGCTCCGGCCAAACCCGCGTCAGAGGAGTCCCAGCCAGTGAGCGGGTGGGCGCCACGCCCGAGCCTTGCCCCGCCTCCCGTTCCCAGCCCCGCCCCGCCCCGCCCCGCTGGACCCGCCTCCTGTCCCCAGCCCCGCCCCCACCCGACTGGCCCCGCCTCCCGTCCCCAGCCCCCCCCACCGATTGGCCCCGCCTCCTGTCCCAGCCCCGCCCCGCCCGACTGGCCCCGCCCCTTTCGTGCCGGGCGCCCGGACCGTACCCTGGCCACGCCCCTTCACTGCAGCCCCGCCCCAAGGAGAAGCTCCGCCCACTCCTACCTTTCCCCGCCCCTCTGTCCCAGATTGACAGCCCTTCCTCTGGCCCCGTCCCTCACCGCCCGGCTCAGACAGGAGGTCCCACATTCACCCGGTCTCGGGGCCCCAGAGTGGCTGAGGGTAAAGGTCCGCCACTCTGTTCATCCATCACCTCTTCATTCGGGCCCTGCGTAAGGTCTAGGTCTTCCTCAGTATCCCTCTGGGCGACGGGGCTGAATGGAGGGGGGTGGGGAAGCGGGTCCTATCGGCTGGATGCTGAGGCCCTGGCCAAGGTCTTCATGGGCAGAATCTGGGGTCTGATCAAGTGAGTCAGAGCTGCAGGGTCACACCGCAGGGCCCGTGGGAGAGGGGCAGGGTCCTCTAACGTACTGTTCCTTCTTTTTCCGCAATGTCAGTCCGCATTCCCATTTACACAATCCCCGCCTTAGCGGTGAAGCCCCAATCAGAGCTCCCTCCCCTCTGTGCCCAAGATTTCGGGGAAAGAGTCCTGTTCCTGGCCTTACAAGTCCCGAGAGACCTGCCCTCTAGGAGACTGACAAGCCCCAGGTTCGGGGCTTCCAGAACCCTATATCAACCTTGAGCCATCCAGCCCACCTCCATCCCATCTCCCTCAGCCCTAGGGCCAGCGTCCCCAACAGATGTCCCTATCACAGCGTCGCCCCACATCTTCAGTCTGGACAGCCGCCGGAAGTTCCCACAGAGGCGAGGGTGGGAGAGGGCCGGGCGGAACAGAGGGTCTCCATCCCCAAATGCCTTCCCTCGGGAGGCCCTCTGACGTGTGGGGAAACGGGGTCCATTCGGCCACTAGCACAGCCAGGCAGCAGCAGAGCCACTCACTCCAGTGCCAGCAGCACCACCTGTCCTTGGAAAACCGACTGGAGGCGAGCTCTCCCCAGGTTGCCTGAAGAAGGGTCTTCCCTGCATTCTTCAGGACACAGGTCAGCATCCAGGAGGCAAGGTGGTTGGTCTTCTTGGGTGTCTCTCAATCTGCAATTCCCTTAGTCCTGCAGAAGGCAAGGAGCAGCTCCCAGGAGTGAGGAAGGCTGGTCCCGGGAGCTGGGGCGTCTTTTGGAGGTTCAGGAAATCCCCACACTGCCCTCGGACAGTTTGGTGTCCGTTACTGCTGAAGTCCAGCATGGAGATTCATCCATCCGGCCCACTCTAGGGTTTCTCTGTCACCCTCCAGAGTCCCTGCTCTTGTAGGCTGAGCTGCCCCCCCCCTCCCTGGGGACTAAGGAAGTACCTGCCTCCAGACATTGACTGGAGTGTGTCCTTAGGGCCTCCCTGGGCTACAGAAACCCTGGTGGATGGGTGAGCACTGGGCACACTCCTGAGCCCAGAGCTGGGAGACCTAGAACTCTCTGGTCCCAGGTCTCAGCTGTGACCCACAGCTCTAGCCCACCATCAGTATTCTAACAACCCAGGGCACACTTATTTAACTCATGCTCTGTTCCATGTAACCGTATCACTCCCGTACTTACCTTTGGTGACCTTCCTCTTCCTCCTCCTTCTCCCCCTCCTCCTTTTCCTCCTCCTCCTCCTCCTTCTTTTAAAATATATTTTTATTGATTTCAGAGAGAAAGGGAGAGGGAAAGAGACAGACACATCAATAATTAGAGAGAATCATCTACTGGATTGGCTGCCTCTTGCACGCCCCTACTGAGGATGGAGCTGGAAACCTGGGCACGTGCTGGAATCAAACCTGGAACCCTTCAGTCTGCAGGCTGATGCTCTATCCACTGAGCCAAACCAGCTAGGATGACCATTGTTCTTTATAAAATAAAATCTAAGATCCATACCATGGTCTCTGAGGCTCTGCTTTGTGGTCCAACCCCATTCCAACTCTCCCCTTTGCTCGTTGCATGCTGGCCAAGATCGCCTTTCTCTGCTCTTTGAACACACCTATGTCTTTCTACTCTTGGGCCTTTTTCTCTGCTTGGAACTGGATTGTAAGCCCTATAAGGATAGACATTGTGTTTGGTTTTGTTTGGCTCTCTCTCTTAAACTGGCAGACAGTAGATAATAAATGCCAGCTGTAGTAGGTTTTAATAAATAATCTGTATAATAAAAACCTAAGTGGCCCTTACAGAAGGACCAGAACGACCGGTTGCTATGATGTGCTTTGACCACCAGGGGGCAGATGCTCAATGCAGGAGCTACCCGTGGTGGTCAGCGTGCTCCCACAGGGGGAGCACCGCTCAGCCAGAAGCTGGGCTCGCGGCTGGTGAGTGCAGTGGCGGTGGCGGGAGCCTCTCCGCCTCCGCAGCAGTGCTGAGGAGCAGCGAGTCAAGCATTAGGAGCAGGCGGGTGGTAAGGAGCGAGGGTCCTGGACTGTGAGAGGGCACAGGCGGGGCTGAGGGACCCCCTCCCAGTGCACAAATTCCATGGACTGCACCTCTAGTTCTTGAATAAATGCATCTGATGCTTTTCTATTGACTTAATCTTTACAACAGCCACGTGAGGTAGAAACTATCATTAAATCTTTTTTTAGGAAAGAAAACAGGCGCTCGGAGAGGTCAGGCCGCATGTGGAAGGCCGCAGCCATGATGTGAACCCCACAGGGAGGCTTTTCACCTCTCATTGGGGGTGGGGGGGTGGGAGTGAAACAGGACACCACAGGCCAGCTTCCAGACCCTAGGAAAGTGTGGGCTTCCTGGACAGGAGGCATGGGTCTGGGTTGGAATGCTGGCGTTTGACTTGGGTCTGCAAAGGCCCTCGGAGAGCATCCAGGTGGAAGGAACAGCCATGAACAAAGGTGCGGAGGCAGGAAGATCCAGCTCTTGGAACTACCCAGCTGGCGGCCGGGTCAGCCAGGACACACCGCCAGCGGTCCCCTGGGTGCAGTCAGCTTGGGACCCAGAGGCAGGACGCCCGTAGGCGTAGGCGGCCAGACACTCTGCAGTCGCTCTCCCCGGGCCGGGCCGAGGCTCCGGAGCCCTCTGGGAGGTGAGCTGGGCGCTCCCACGCCCCTCTGGGGCAGGACGTTCCCACGCGGGGGCAGGGGCGGGCGGCCTTGGGAAAGGCTTGGGGCGGGCCCAGGGGAGGGCGTCTGGGCTCCAGTCCCTCTGCAGCTCATTCTCCGTTCCTCGCTCAGCAGACCTGGGTCGCTCCTGCAGCAGAGCGGGGAGGTGAGTGGCTGGGGGCGCCTGGCTTGGGGAGATGGGGAATGGGACTTGGGCTCCCCCGTGTGGTCCCTGCCATGGCAGAGGGGGAGGGGGTTCCTGGGAATGATGCTTTGCTGGCAGACGGGGTGCCACGTCTTTCCCCAAATGCATATTGCTCCTTCCCTTTCCCCATCGGCGGGGCTCTCCCACCCACTCGACACTGATGGGGAGCCCTTCCTTCCCAAAGGGGGGGCCCTCTCCCACTCACCACACACGGTATACTCCTTCATAATTACTGGGGGGCCCCTCCCCAGATGTGGGGGGCTCTTTCTCTTTTCAGAAATGAATGCCCCGCAACCCTCTCCAGATGTGAGCTCCTTCTCCTCTCTCTGACCCATTTTGGTCCTTGTCCTGCTCTAGAGTCCCCACCCCACCCCCCACGGGATGTCAGTCCCCGAGACTCCCCCCCTCCCCCCCATGGGGGTTTGGGCTCATCCTGTCCCCCTCCTCCACTGGATCCAGCAGAGCAGGCTCTCCTGCACGTAGGCAGCCCATTAGGGAGGGGGGGGCAGGCTGTCTGGCAGAGATGGTGGCAGATGGCCTGAGGGAGGAGAGGGAGCCCAGACCTGCTTCCTCCCACCCCGGCTCTTCTGGGGGGCAAACAATCAATCCAGGATGGTTTCCCAAGCTGGCCAGACTGAGCTGGGGCGGGAAGTAGGACCCAGGCCCCCAGCCCCAAACTATTCAGACCCTGCCTTAAGAATTAAGCCTCCTTCCGCTGAAACCGGTTTGGCTCAGTGGATAGAGTGTCAGCCTGTGGACTGAAGGGTCCCAGGTTCGATTCCGGTCAAGGGCATGTACCTTGGTCGCGGGCACATCCCCAGTGGGGGATGTGCAAGAGGCAGTTGATTGATGATTCTTTCTCATCGTTGTTTCTGGCTCTCTCTCCCTCTCTCTTTCTCTCTGTAAAATATCAATAAGATATATATTTTTTTTAAAAATTAAGCCTCCTCCCACTTCTCAGATGGGGAGTTGAGGTCCTGGGGCAGAAGCTCCAAATGTCTTGGACCCCAATTTACCCCCATGGGGATACCAGACAAAATTAGAAGGTCCGGGGACCTGAGGGAGATGCTGAAATCTTAGAAGCTCCCCGTCCCACACCCCCGCCACACACACCTGAGGAAATGGTTTCTCTGTCTGGGCCCTAAGGGGTAGGGTCAGAGGGCAATGTGCGGGCTCATTCACATGCACCCCCCAGATGTTCTTCAGAGCTGCCCGGAGGTTGGTGCTGAAGAAGCGAGGACTTGGGACTCGAGGGACACACAACGCGGGAGACGCTGGTAAGACCCGGACACCCTCCTCCCCTGCCTAACTCCACGGGAGTGCTGTCCGCAGGCTGCTCTGTCCCTCCCATGCTGGGCCTACCCAGAACCATTTCCCACAACCCCAGTCCCGGGTCCAGGAAATGGAGCTCCTGCATCCCACGCTTCCTCAGGGCCTGCCCCCTCCCCTTGAGGCCTTTGTGTCCTGGGGTGGAGGTGCTGACAGGACCGGGGGCCTCCTTGGCAGACCAGGTGTCAGTGCCAGTCCGGAGATGCCTACAGCTGGAGAGACTGCAGCCAGCTAGCAGAGGGTCTTTCTGGTTTACTTATTTATAAAGAAGTAACATTCATTCAGCCCTTACCATGTAGCCCCAGCTGTGATAAATACTTTATACAGATTAACACATCTAGACTTCCCCACAAACACGTGAGGTGGAGGTGTGCTGTTACCTCCGTCTCTCAGATGAGCAAACTGTGTCGGTCTGAGGACTGAAGGGTCCCAGGTTTGATTCCAGTCCGGGGCGCATGCCCGGGTTGCAGGCTCCAGGAGGGGGCCTGCAGGAGGCAGCTGATCAATGATTCCCTCTCATCATTGATGTTTCTACCTCTCTCTCCCTTCCCCTCTGAAATCGATAAAAATTGATTACTAAGTAAGTAAAGGCATACGGATATTGTTTTACTGTTTGCAGAGCACTTTTGCACCTGTCAGCTCAGGTTCACCTCATGAGCCTTTGCTCACCATTGCCTCTGCCCGACTTGCCTTCTTTGCCTCGTCCTACCAGAGAATTCAGGATTGGAAGCCGGGAGGAGAAAGGGGCTAAATTGCAGCCCTGGCCCTGGTCCTTCTGATTCTGTGAATTTTATTTTATTTATTTTTTTAATGGACAGCCTGAACCGAGAGCAGTGGCTTTTTTTTATTTTTATTTTTTTTACATATATTTTATTGATTTTTAACAGAGAGGAAGGGAGAGGGATAGAGAACTAGAAACATCAATGAGAGAGGAACATCAATCAGCTGCCTCCTGCACAGCCCCCACCGGGGACATGCCCGCAACTAAGGTACATGCCCTTGACCGGAATCGAACCCGGGACTTTCCAGTCTGCAGGCCCACGCTCTATCCACTGAGCCAAACCGGTTCTGGCTGGTTCTGTGAATTTTTAGCTGCAGTTTCTTCATCTGTAAAATGGAGTTAACAGCATCACCTAGCTCAGAGTGATGTGGAATGAATGAGTCAACTTACCTGAAGGCCTTAGAATGGCTCCTGGCACACAGGAAGTGCTCAATAAATGCAACTCTTCTTTTAAAAAATATATATTATTGATTTTTTACAGAGAGGAAGGGGGAGAAATAGAGAATTAGAAATATTGATGAGAGAGAAACACCGATCCGCTGCCTCCTGCACACCCCTACTGGGGCTGTGTCCGCAACCAAGGTGCATGCCCTTGACCGGAATCGAACCTGGGACCTTTCAGTCCACAGACAGACGCTCTATCCACTGAGCCAAACCGGTGAGGGCCAACCCTCTCTCTTAATATTATGGTTAGTGCCAAAACCGGTTTGGCTCAATGGATAGAGCTTCGGTCTGTGGACTGAAGGGTCCCGGGTTCGATTCCGGTCAAGGGCATGTACCTTGGTTGCGGCGACATTCCCAGTAGGGAGTGTTCAAGAGGCAGCTGATCGATGACTCTCTCTCATCGATGTTTCTAACTTTCTATCCCTCTTCCTTCCTCTCTGTACAAAATCAATAAAATAGATTAAAAAAAATATTATGGTTAGTGCTGGAATGTCCCAGGGGCAGCCTGAACTCAGCTCCTTCCTTGTACCCACAGCCCACAGCAAGGGGAAGGCGGCCCCCTACACCAATTACCACGCCCAGCGCTCCTACCCCATGCCGGACGAGCCCTTCTGCACAGAGCTCACCGCCGAGCAGCGGGCCCTGAAGGAGAAGGAGAAGGGCAGCTGGACCCAGCTGAGCCACGCCGAGAAGGTGGCCTGTAGGTCTGGGCTGGGCCTGGCTGGGGAGAGCGGGCTGGCAGGGGCTTTGCAGAGAAGGGCCCATCAGGGAGCCCCCACCCACAGCAGCCAGAAATGCATACCCAGGGGAGAATTTCATTCATTTGTTCATTCTTTATATTCACTCCATTACTGTGCATGGCCTGGTGCCAGAGGGTGCTGGGGACGCAGGAGTGAATCACCCAGCTGGTTCCCGCCATCAGAGTGCTCCCCGTCCAGTGGGGGAACTGACACCAACCCGATAGTTGTAATGCAGGGTGCGTGGCTAAGTGAGGTGTGGTCAAGTGTTTGTGAGTGAGAGAGCGAGAGCGAGAGCGAGAGCGAGAGCGAGAGCGAGAGAGAGAGAGAGAGAGAGAGAGCGAGCGAGAGAGAGAGAGAGAGAGAGAGAGAGAGAGAGAGAGATGGAATCCAGAGGAAGGCACATTCCCGCTGGCGCTGGATGGAGAGGAGGAGGATGCTGTAGGTACCGGGAACAGCATGGGGGAAGATACGGGAGCAGGGAACATGGAGGGTTCTGGCATCACTGAGTGGTATGAGGGGACAGAGCCAGGAGAGGCAGGTGAGGTGGATGGGGGAGCAGGCACCTGACCTTGAGGGGCAGGGGGGATGTGTGACCCCAAGTTATGGCCACCAGAAGTGCCCTGGGCTGCCAGTTCCCGGCCCTGCTTTGCGGACCAGTACTCTTATGCTTGATAAGAACTTGCCGAATGGACAGCGTCTGCCGCAGGGAGGGGGAGGCTGGAGATCCCCAGACCTAGAGCTGGCTCTGGGCCCTTGGGGGGCTGCCCCTGAGGCCCCCCCCTCACCTGCTTCCAGTGTACCGGCTGCAGTTCCACGAGACCTTCGCCGAGATGAATCGCCGCTCCAACGAGTGGAAGACAGTGGTGGGCTGTGTCTTCTTCTTCTGCGGGTTCACGGCTCTGCTCATTTGGTGGCAGCGGGTCTATGGTGAGTTGCAGCGTCTCGCCCGGCTGCCGCCCTGGGCCTGCCCGGTGGCCGCAGCCACAGCCATGTTCTTGTCAGAGAGCTCATCTCAAGGTTTTGAGAAGTCCCCCAAAGAGGTGGAGGGTGAAGGGCAGAGCACAGAAGTCCCCCAAAGAGGTGGAGGCTGAGTGGCAACGTAGGGACTCCACCTCTCTGGGCCTCCCTGGCCCCATCTGTAAAATAAGAGTAATGATGCCCACATCTCAGGGCCCTGGTGAGGTCTGAATGAGAGAGAGCTGCAGGCCAGCTGTGGTTATGCGGATATTCTTACTGTGATGCTGGAGACGTGGCCTGGGCGCCGTGTGCTCAGGGGCCTGTGAGAATCCGAAGGAGAGAGAGCAGGAACCCTGGCGGGCCACCCGGAGGAAGGCACATCCCAGCTGGCTGTTATTAAGCATGAATTTTTCTTGTGTTTTTTTTTTTTTTTTTTTAAATATATTTTTATTTTAAATATAAAATAAAAACATATTTTATAGAATGACCAGGAGCTATTCTAAGGCCCTCAGGTAAGTTGACTCATTTACTCCTCATCACTCTGAGCCCGGTGATGCCGTTAACTCCATTTTACAGATGAAGAAACCGAGCAGCTAACGTTCAGAAAGGAAGGACCATAGATACATCAATGATGAGAGAGAGTCATTGATCAGCTGCTTTCTGCATTGCCCTCCCCCCTCCCCCAAACCGGGGAGGGAGCCCGCCACAGGGGCACGTGCCCTGACCGGGAATTGAACCGTGACCTCCTGGTCCACAGGTTGATGCTCAGCTGCTGAGCCACGCCGGCCGGCAACCAGGAATCTTTCAGTACATTGTTCCAGGCGCTGTGCGGAGTCCCCAGCATACTCGAGCTTGAACAAAATAAAGGTTTTGTTCTTGTCTCGCAAAAAAGGCCACGGGAGGTACGGGGACGTCACGACGGCAGGCTTCTTACACCTCGTTGCTCTGCCCTCCTTAGCGTGTAGCTTCTCCTTGGCATGCACGATGGCTGCTCCTGCCCCAGCCTACATCCCAGGAACGAAGAGGGGGAGGGAGGAAGCACTCCTTTTTAAGGTCCAGAAGTTGCGCACGCCACTTCTGCTCACGTTCTGTTCGCTAGAAATGATCATCTGACCATATCCAGCCACAAGGAACCCCGGGCAGTGCTGCCATACGCCCAGCTGACCGGGCGCTGCTATACAACAAGGGCGGTTCTGAAGGTGTGGTTCCTGGACCGACAGCTTCACGTGGGAGCTTAGAAATACACATCCCCAGCGCCACGCGGGGCCCGCCGAGTCAGACACCGGCGGTGGAGCCAGCAGTCAGCGTTCTCACGGCCTCCAGGCCAGGGGGTCACTCAGGGAGGAGACGCACTGCTCGGAAGGAGGGAGAGGATGCTGAGGAGGAACAGCAGCCAGTTGGCCTGTAGTGGCCGCCCCCTGTTTCTGCTGTAAACGCGGGGTGGGCGTTCCTACCTTGCGTAAGGAAGAAATGAGAGGGCCTTTGGAGAAACTCTAATCCAGCTCAATGTTCGGTACTTGCAGGTGCCCACACAGGTTGTTTCTTTGTTGCCCAGCCACTGGGAGAGAAAGGGCCAGGGATGGGTGGCAGGCTGGGCGAGTCAGCCTCAGGGGCAGACGGGTCAGGAAGGGCAGTAGGACCTGAGGGGTGTCGGACACTGTGGTCCCAGCCCTTCCCTGCGCCACAGGGGAAGGCACCTAAAATACCCCATGGGCGCTTCAGCCTTTGCGTTAGGTGTTGTCCTCACCAGACTTCTTTTTAAAAATATATATATTTTATTGATTTTTCACAGAGAGGAAGAGAGAGGGACAGAGAGTTAGAGACACCGACGAGAAAGAAACATCCACCAGCTGCCTCTTGCACACCCCCTACTGGAGATGTGCCCGCAACCAACGTACATGCCCTTGACCGTAATCGAACCTGGGACCTTTCAGTCTGCAGGCCGGTGCTCTATCCACTGAGCCAAACCAGTTTCGGCACCAGACTTCTTCTTAAATCCGCACCCGAGGATATGTTTTTGTTGATTTTAGAGAGAGAGGGAGAGAGAGAAACATCGATCAGCTGCCTCCCAAAGGCGCCCCAAACTGGGATCGGACCCAGAACCTCACGAAGATGATGTCCAACCAACCAACCTACCCGGCTGGGCCTCCCCTGGTTTTTAAAGTGAATGCCTCTATCCTACCTCCTGCTTCCAACCCCCTTCAGGAAGTGAAATAAACTTTTATCCCGGACTCCTCCCAATAAGTGGAGCAAACTGAGTAATCACGGCTGGAATAGCTACGGTGTATTATGGCCTTAATACCTGCCCACATTATGCAGATCATTTTACAAATAGCAACTCATTTAATCCCCACAGCCCTAGTGGAGAGGACCTGGCTTTGACAAATAAGGAAACTGAGGTTCAGAGCGATAAAGTGACCTGTTCAAAGTCACACAGCAAGGGCGTGGTGGATCCAGGATTTGAAACCAGACAGGCTTCAAACCATTGCTCCTAATTACCCCTGGGCCACACAGCAGGCGGGGAGACTGAGGCTCTGAAGGGGAGGGACCTTGACCCAGTTCCCGCGGCCCATCGAAGGCAGAGTTGCGATCAGGACACGGAACTCTGTGGAGTGCCGCTTAGGAAGTCGGATGGGGAGACGGACGGGGTGGAGGGAGCTCCTCCACGCAGGGCACCCTACCCCTGTCCCGGGACCGTGGCTCAGAGGGAGGGGGCGGCCCTGTCCCTGCCCCATGCCTTCCTGCAGTGTTCCCGGAGAAGCCCATCACCCTGACGGACGAGTGGAAGGCCAAGCAGCTCCAGCGCATCCTGGATATGAAGGGCAACCCCGTGCAAGGCCTGGCCTCCCGCTGGGACTATGAGAAGAAGGAGTGGAAGAAGTGACTCTGCATCCCACATCCCAGGCCACTCCCCTTGCCCCCCCCCCCCCCCCCCCCGCCCAAGCTCTCCCCTGGCCGGGAGCCTGTGGAGCACCCCCTCCCCTCTCGTTCACCCCAATAAAGCTGGCCTGTTCTCTTCTGCCTTTGATCTCCGCCTCAGTCTTTATCCGCCACAAAGCCTCCATCACACCTAAAACCAGGCAGCTCAGTGGCCGAGGGGCAAGAACAAGCGCTCTCCGGGGCTCAGAGCGCGGCGCCCCCGGGCGGGCGGGCTTCCTGGGGGAGAGGCGAGGGCTGAGCCCCACGGGGATTGGGAAAGCAGGCAGGAGAGGGAGAGCGCTCCAGGTGGAGGGAGAGGCTTGAGCAAAGGCAAGGACACTCCTTTATTCAGTCAAGTGACACATTCTTCCTGAGGACCTACTGTGTGCCAGGCGCTTACCCCTCCAGGCCTCCGGGAGGCAGCGGGAGACACTCTCTGGCCTCAGTGGGGCAGACGGAAGAGTAAGTATGATATATAGTAGGTGACCTGGTTTTAAGTGCTATAAATAAACAAAACAAAGGGAGCCTTAGAGGGGGATTGGGGTTTGGGGACATTTCATTCTGAATGAAATGAGGAGACAAGCCTTGTATCAAAGCCAGAGCAGCCAGAGCAAAGGCCGAGGTGGGGTTCTGGTGTGTGTGTGTGTGTGTGTGTGTGTGTGTGTGTGTGTGTGTGACTTCCAGGAGGCTGCCACGGTGACGGGAGTGGGATGACTGGGAGAGCAGCGGGGAGGTGTGTGCTGGGGGAGAGGGCTGGCCGTGGGGCAGAAAGCAGATTCTAAAAGCCTCCTGGGAGTTTATTCCAAGTGCGATGGGAAGTGGTATCGGTCTGCATCCTCTGGGAAGCAAAAGCCAAGAAAGAAGGAAAGCTGCCGGAGATCTGTTGGGGGCTCCCCAGGTGAAGGATGACGCAGACAGGGAGACGGAGGGAGTGGTGAGACGCTTTAGACGTGGTGCAGGCCTGACCGAGGGAAGGATCGGGGAGGAAAGGCCTTGAACGTCTGTGCTCTGCACCGAAGTCCAACCCAGAGACAGCAATGTAACAGAGGCTGTTGAAAGGATGATCATGTTTACACAAGAGAAAACTATAAAGATGTAAAGGTAACTTTAAAGAGTATCCTAGAGAGCATGCCCAAGGAAGGACAGCTTTGGACGGGGAGGGTGCCTTCCCAAACTGGGGTTCAGACCTCAATGGAGAAGGGGTGGTGGAAGCCTGCCAGCTGGCAGAGAGTGGAGCTGGGTTGGCGAGGCCACAGCTGGTCCTTGGGCACCGGACAGGGAAAGTTCCAAGTCCTCAGAGGCCCAAGGGCACAGAGGCTGGTGGGCGGGGAATTGGGGCACCTTGTAGATGTGAGGCCGGGAGGGTGTGGTGTCTATGAGCTAGGAGGGTGGCAAGTAGATGGTCCCCAGGCGGGGGCGCTGCAAGGTGGCTGGTAGACTGGGCTCATGGCTGCAGCAGATCACCACCAGGTGTCCTCACTCACTGCTGACCAACCACTCAGCAGGAGCAAGAACACACACACACACACACACACACACACACACACACACCTCAGAACCAGAAAGCCAAGCCCAGCCTTTCCTCCAGAAATGTCCCCTCCAGCACCCTCTGCTGGCAGAGTTTAGCATCTGCCTGTAAAGAAGGCAATGCTCAGCTGAAACCGGTTTGGCTCAGTGGATAGAGCATCAGCCTGCGGACTGAAAGGTCCCAGATTCGATTCCGGTCAAGGGCATGTACATTGGTTGCGGGCACATCCCCAGTGGGGGGTGTGCAAGAGGCAGCTGATCGATGATTCTCTCTCATCGATGTTTCTAGCTCTCTATCTCTGTAAAAAAAAATCAATAAAATATATTTTTAAAAAAAGAAGAAGGCAATGCTCAGAGTTTGTTATCCTAGAGCAGGCACTAAAGGGTGAATCTGGAGTTGAGGGGCAATAAGATGACAACTGGAACAGCAAACCTGAGAAAGCCGTGGCCAATGGGAAGACCAGAGGGACAAAAGGCCCAGTAGAGGAGTTTTGTTGGGCAAAACCCTTAGGCCCCCACTGTGCTCAGTCCGTGGCGGGGAGCAGCCCCCCGGGGGGGCGTGGCTTCAGCAGGAAGGCTGCAGCAGAACCTACAGGTTCTCCAGGAGAGAAATCTGAGCAGCACACCTCCATGGACACCTAGATGCCAGGGGAGGGTTTAGCAGAGCAGTTGTGACAACAATACACAGCGAGGCAAAAGTAGGCTTACAGTTGTTCATATGGAAAAGAACACAATAATTAATGAATAATATTACAAGAATAAACTCTGTTTCACATACTCACAACTGCAAACCTACTTTTGCCCACCCTGCGTTCATTCAGCCAACAAATACTTATAGTACATCCACTATGTACCCGGCTCATAGAATAATATTTAATACTAGAGGCCGGGTGCACGAAATCCATGCACCTGGGGCGGGGGATTCCTCTGCCTGGCCTGCGCCTTCTCACAGACTGGGAGCCCTCGGGGGATGTCCAACTATCAGCTTAGGCCCGCTCCCCATGGGATGTTAGACATCCCCAGCGCTGCCGTGGAGGTGGGAGAAGCTCCTGCCACCACCACTGCAGTTGCCAGCCATGATCCCGGCTTCTGGCTGAGCCGTGCTCTCTCTGTGGGAGCACACTGACCACCAGGGGGCAGCTCCAGCATTGAGCATCTGCCCCCTGGTGGTCAGTGCATGTCATAGCGAGCGGATGAGTGGCCTTTGCATTTCATTAGCATATTATGCTTTGATTGGTTGAATAGACAACCAGACACTTAGCATATTAGGCACTTGTTATATAGGATTTAATATTTAATACACATGCAGTCCTCATGAACCTGAAAGTCTGCAATGGGGACTCAGCATTAATCAGACAGTCGCCCTAACAATGTGTAACACAAATAAGTGTTAAAAAAAAGGTGCTTGGACTTACAGGGGCTGGGGGAACTTGACTCAATCAGTAAGGGAGGGCTTCCCTGAGGAAGTGTCCTCAGACCTGAGATATGAAAAATGATTGGATATAAGCTAGATGAAATAGGAGGTGGAACAGCATTCGAGTCAGGAAAAAAGCATGTGCAAACGCCTGTGGTGGTGAGGACCACGCATGATAGAGGAAGCAAAGGGAGCCGAAGGCTGTCAGAGGGGGCGGTAGAGGTGGACAGGGGGAGCCAGGAGAGCAGGAGACTCAGACGGGCCTTGGGGTCTCCGCTGCCCCTACTGAAGGGACACGTCTGGAGACAGCAGGGAAGAGTGGCGCCAGGGGAGCATGTTGAGGCCGGAATATGGGAGCCTTGGACAATTTTTATCTGAGAGAGGCAGCTGCCTTGTCCTAGGCAGGAGGGATTCACTTATTAGTCACATCTCAGCACAAGAGATGCTGGGGACCCAAATAGGAAGCGCACAGGAGCCTCGACCTCCAGGTTTCCTAGCCCGTTGGGAGGGACAGCCAGTCGGAAGCTAAGGAGGTAAGAACTAGGAAAATGCCAGGTAGTATGTTTTGACCCAGACCCTGATGCTTTGCTAGCAGCAGGAGCAGGTTTTTGTTTGATTTTAATATATTTTATTTATTTATTTATTTATTTATTTATTTATTTATTTATTTATTTATTACAGAGAGGAAGGGAGAGGAATAGAGAATTAGAAGCATTGATGAGAGAGAAACATCGACCAGCTGCCTCCTGCACAACCCTCACTGGGGATGTGCCCACAACCCATATACATGCCCTTGACCGAAATCGAACCCGGGACCTTTCAGTCCGCAGGCCAAAGCTCTATCCATTGAGCCAAACCGGTTTTGGCAGTAGGAGCAGTTTTGACATAACTTAAAATGTTGAAATACGCAGGCAGTAACATTTGTTTAGATGAATAAATTGCCAAGGAATTATGTTGCGAGTAACAAAGAAAATTGTCAAAATTGGCCCAGGGCAAAATTAGATGCTATACGAAGTCAATTCCCAGCCCCCGCCCCCGCCCCCAATAATGTTGTATAACAACCCCAAAGCGCGGTGGTTTCCAGCTTTGAGCATTTCTGTTTCTCTTTCACGGGCCTGTGGTGTGGGCTGGCGGAGGCTCTGCTGGGAGCTGCAGGTTTAGTTCCAGTCTGTGGATTGGTATTTTTGTGTGCTCGGGCTGCCATAACAAACACCACAGATTCGGTGGCTTAAACAACAGAAATATATTTTCTCACCATTCTGAAGGTTAGAAGATCAAGTGTTGGCAAGGTTGGCTGCTTCCGCTACTTCTCTCCCTGGCTCGCTGCTCACATGGTCCTTCCGCTGTGTGTGCGTATCGCTGGTGTCTCGCTGGATCCAGATTTCCTCTTCTTACAAGGACACCCGTCAGAGTGGGCTAGGACCTTCCCTCATGACCTCATTTTAACTTCATCACCGCTTTAAAGGTCCTATCTTCAAATAGAGTCACATTCTGAAGGATTAGGGATGAGGACTTCAGCACATGAATTCGTAGGGGCCACATTTCAGCCCATCACAGTTGGATTGAGGATTATTCCATTCGTTTCCTTGTTCTGGGACCGGCAAGCATCCAGGGCACGTTCTTCTCATGGTAGGAGTCTGAGGCTCCTGAGGGGGCAGAGAGACAGTGGGGACACATGATGCTCTTTTTAAAAATATTTTTTTTAATCTTATTTTTATTGATTTTTTACAGAGAGGAAGGAAGAGGGATAGAGAGTTAGAAACATTGATGAGAGAGAATCATCGATCAGCTGCCTCCTGCACACCCCCTACTGGGGATGTGCCCGCAACCCAGGCACATGCCCTTGACCGGAATTGAACCTGGGACCTTTCAGTCTGCAGGCCGACGCTCTATCCACTGAGCCAAACCGATCTCAGCTTAAAAATATTTTTAATGATTTCAGAAAGGAAAGGAGAGGAATTAGAGAGATAGAAACATCAATGATGAGAGAGAATCACTGATTGGATGCCTCCTGCACCCCGCCC